ATTCCTGCTTCTGGCAGGTACGTATGTGGGATGATTCGATTTTGCCACAGGACGAAACAGAATTTCAAACTGTATTCAAGCTACTAGTCATAGATTTTAAGACTAAAAATTAATTTATAAAACAAGTGGTAGGGCTGGAGTGTTGTTGTAGCCATGACAGTCCTGAAGAAAGTGTTTGTGCACAAACGCTTGTTCAGTGTTTATCTCTGTATAAAGTCATAGAATTTAATTCAGTTGGTCCTGTTTTGAGCCCTATACATGAACACTTAATTACACTGAGACAGCTACTTGTCTTAGACTATTTAAAATTATTTAAAACCCATTTCTTATTAAATATTTTATGCAATGAAATAGCAACTGGTAATAATAAATGATAGGTGCATTTCTTCTGTAATTGCTGCTCTAAGGAAATTCTATAAGGAATTTCATTTAGACTGAATGTATTAGTTATTCTATATTACCATATTTACCTAGATCCAAAATGACTTTGAATTTAAAATGACTCCCACAATAATTAGATTCTAAACATGGAAAAATACAAGATTATTATAATTTACCATGTCTCGAATCTAATTCATAGATTCATAGATGTTTGTGTCAGAAGGGACCTTAGTAGATTGAGTCCAACTCCCTTCCCTGGGTAGAAAAGAGCACCGGGGTCAGATGACCCCATCCAGGTGCATGTCTAGCCTCCTCTTAAAGACCCCCCAAGATAGGGGAGAGTACCACCTCCCTTGGAAGCCCATTCCAGATTCTGGCAACCCTTATTGTTCTAAAGAAGTTCTTCCAACCTAAATCTGCTCTCTGTCAGTTTGTGGCTATTGTTCCTAGCTACCCCAAGGGCAGAGCATCTTCTATTCCTTGTTGGCCCCACCCTTATGAATTTGTAGGCAGCCACAAGATCACCTCTCAGCCTTCTCTTGTGGACACTGAAGAGATCCAGGTCTCTCAATTATTACAATAAATTATGGAAGGCTCATTTATATGCATTGCTTCCACCACTGCAGTGAGAAAGCAGCAGCAGCAGCAGAAGCAAGTGCATAAGCAATAGGAGAGGGGCAAGCAGTTGGGGTACAAATGGCACAGGGAACAGGCAGCCTCACCCCTATCCCCTGCTTCCCCTGTACCTTGCCTCCACATGCCTGTGCCCCCCATCCCCTGCCACTGCATCAATTACTTCCTCATTCCTGCCTCCTGGCCAG